ACGCGTCCTTAATACCAAACAGGTATGTTAACGGTCTGTGATCGGTTATAATATTAAAATGTCGACCATATAAATATGGTCGGAAATATTTCACGGCCCAGACGATGGCTAATAATTCTTTCTGAATAACGCTATAGTTACACTCGGCTTTATTTAATGTTCTACTCGCATAAGCGATAGGCTGATCTTTAGGGACTTCCCCTTGTGATAAGACTGCTCCTATTGCATATTGGCTTGCGTCTGTCATTAAGTTGAACTTTCCCGCTTCCCAGTCCGGATAGACCAGTAATGGTGGGTTCATTAAAGTTTTTTTCAGTTCTTCGAAACTATGTTCGCAATTATCAGTCCATTCGAATGGTACGTCTTTTTTAAGTAAGTAAGTTAATGGTTTTGCGATTTTCGCAAAGTTATCGACGAAACGTCTATAATAGTTTAGTAATCCCAAAAATGATTTAATATCTTTTGCGTTTTTTGGTCGAGGGTATTCTCTGATACATTTTAATTTGTTTGGGTCCGGGGAAACTCCCGTTTCGTTTATTACGTGTCCTAAGTACAATACTTCTTTCCGTAAGAAAGAACATTTATTAGGCTGTAATTTGAGTTTGTGTACGCGCAACCGATTGAATACCTGTTCTAATTTCTTTTGGTGGTCCTTTAAACTGGATCCATGTACTACAATATCGTCAAGATATGCAGTGCACATTTCCTCAAGGCCCATAAGTACAGATTTCATTGCGCGTGTGAACGTAGCTGGAGCTGAGCTCAGCCCGAAGGGCATGCGTAAAAATTCATAGTGACCGGATTTCGTAGAAAAAGCTGTTTTATGTGTGTCAGCCGGGTCTATATGTATTTGATGATAACCGGACGCCAAATCTAATGTACTGAAATATTTGGATGATCCTAGAGATTCTAATATTTCTAGTAAATTTGGTAGGCCGTAAGCTTCGTTCTCGGTTACTTCGTTAAGTTTTCTGAAATCTACGCATACTCGTAATTTGGGTTTCCCTGTCGGATCTAGATTTTTCTTCTTCACTACTACTAGTGGAAAATTAAAAGGTGATTTAGAATCGCGTATAATATTGTTATTTTTCATTTCTTTAATTTGTTTTTCGATTTCATCTTGGTACGCCCAAGGTAAACGATATGGTCGTATATTAATGGGTTTCGTGCAACGCGGCGTGTTTATAGTGTGTGTCACGATTTCCGTGGCGCTTAAATAGTCGCCCGGAAGGTAAAACAGGTCCGCGTAATTACAGCATAGTTCAAGGATACTTTCGCTTTCCTCTTTGTTTAAATCGTCGGTCTTAATTTCGCGTTTGATCTGTGTTATACGGTCGGTTTTTTTTTCATCTACGAACGATGCAGTTAATACATTTTCGGTATACGGCTCCCACTCGATATGTTGCGTGGTAAGCTCGTCTATTACAAAAGGTTCTTCCGAAATATTTATTACGTTACTAATAATGTTATTTTTATTGACCGGACTTATGCTGTTCGCGATTATCACGTTTTCGTTTACGTCTTGTTTTTTAATAGTAATATTCTCGTGACTTATATTTTCGTCGTTTTTTATAAGTAGTACACAATTGCTACGCGGCGGTAGTATAATTTCTTTGAAACCAGTTTTTTCGGGTATCGTTAATAAATTTCGGCTATAGTCCATTATGACTTTATTTTGTTTCAAAAAGTTACGCCCGATGATGCCTGACTCGTTTATTGGGAAATCGCCAAAAACGACGTCGAATTTAATAAGCACCTCTACATCGTTAATTTCCATACTGGTTAGAATTGTGCCTACGGTGAATATCGGAATTTCGTTAATGCCTTTAATTGTGCGTTTCGCGGATTCGTTTACCACGACGTGTCCCTCTAACGCGGTTATTTTAATAAGGTTCATTTCCGCGCCGGAATCAACTAATAATTTAATTTTATGAGGTTTGAAATTATCCGATGCACATATTATATGTTCCTCTTCGAAATTAGCTACAACTCTTACATGATTTTGGTTGATTTCGTTTACTGTACGACTGGTACTAGGAATTTCACTTTCCTTGTTACTCGTTTTTTTACTCTCGTTATAAATACGCTTCCTACAATCTTTTATATTGTGGTTTGTTTTTTTACAGTACGAGCAGAATCTAACTTGACCTTGGTATTCGTGTTTTACTACACTGGTTTTATCGTCACGACTGCTAACGGGATTTCTAAAATTTGTGCTGTATGAGGTACCGGCATTACTGCGGCACTCGTTTGCATAGTGACCCATTTTGCTGCATTTATTGCACTTAATATTTTTTTTATTCGCGTTATTTTTCCCGTAAGTTTTTTCTGAATTAAAACGTCTATTAATGTGTTGGAGGTCTTGTTCCTCCTCAATAGCGATAGTAATGGCTTGCTCGAGAGATGATACAGCGCGTGCTCGTAAAAATGACCTAATTGCTGGTTTCGCCCCGTTAATAAACGCAGTAAGTGCTAATGCTTTATGCGATGAAGCTACAGCTGCGGCTGCTGCTGGTTCTAGTCCTAATGTTAACGCTCCTACCAATTCGTGATAACATTTTTCGGTTCGACCGGCAAAACTACGTACGTCCTCGTCGGATCGTTGTCGACTATTACTAAGTTGCGATTGCAAGTAATTAATCGAATGCGGTGCCCCAAAAACGTTTCTAAGGTGGTTTTTAAGTTCTGACCAGTTTTCAAATTTTCGGTAACGAGTGGCCTGGTATGCGTCTCCCTTTAATTTAGATAATATATTGTGAAATACTACGGTTACAAGATTTTCATGGATATTTTCCATTACATAATTACATTCGGTTATATATGAGGCTAGTTCTACCTCGGAACCCCCGCTAAAGTTAGGTATGCCGCGCAAGGCGGAGTCAATTCCTAATGTTACGCTCATGACTGTCGTTTGTAAAGTTTGCGGGTTATATTTAACTACTGCCCAACACCTTGGACTCTCAGACATATACTATATAATTGTTTAAAATGACAACTTACAGTGCAAAATTCATTGTATTCTTGTCTGGTCCTAACTGCTTGCGTGCTGACGGCTCTGTGGACTCGTCGTTGATGCTCCGCTTGGCTAGTTGAGTGAAGTTGGAATGTTGATTGAATTTGATGGCTTGGCTCGGCTTGCTTCCTTCCTAGGTAACAGCAACGTGAATAAACTCGAGGTCCGCTGATGTACTCGACTCCAGGTTGGTTGCTGGAATTCTTCCTTCAGGTGACCCCACACCTGACACCAAAAAACGTGTAGTGATCCCTCACTAACGCTTATATTTTGAGTTTGTCGACGTTGATGATTGAGTAGGAGAAAAGGTTGCAGAGTTACAAGTTACAACGTTATAATTTAAGTAATTTATTTTAAAGTTAATAATAATATAATGGTATTACATTTGAATATAGAAATTTGAGGACAGAGCGATAAGCGTCTGCCCGAGAGATTAGTGGTTAATACTAAGTACTTACAAGTATGTACGTCGTACTAGCACTCAGCTAATTCTAATTTAGATACAGACGGAGACTCGTATATATACAAAGTCTCCCTAGGTTATTAGGTACACGGTAGAGACTCGGAGGTGGATCAAAGGAATACCGGCGGTATGCAAGGTACCGGCGTAAATGTTAAAAGTTGTCGAATAAACCTTGAGTTGTGAACTGGTTTATTCGGCAATATGTATTATTAGAAATCGTTATGCGATTTTTAAATATGTAATAAATCCTCAGGGCGTGGTATAGTCGTTGATCAATATATCATATAGTGCAAAGTCCTTATGATGTATAATTATAGGAAAGCGACTCTGTCGGTTTACTACATATGTCTTTGAAATTATATTCATATATTAAACTTTGTAAAATTTTAATCCATTTTTTTGAATTTGTAACTTCAAATTGTTATCTCATTTTACTGTTTAATGTCCTATTAAATCTTTCAATAATTGACGATTTTTCTTCATTTTGGGTGTGATACATTTTAATTCCATATTCTTGCAAAACTTTTTTAAAATGTTTATTTTCAAATTCCAAACCTTTATCTGCGTGAAGAAAATTTGGTGCTTGATGATTTTGTGATATAGCTTGTTTTATTATTTTTTGAAATGCTTCTGAAACACTAATTCCATCTTTCTTTTTGAGTTCTAAAGCCCAAGAAAATTTTGAAAACGTATCTATAACAGTTATTATATAAGAATAACCCTTATTTTCATCAGAATAATTTCTCATTATAACTAAATCAGCAGCCCATAAATCATCAATACCTTTAGTAAAAATTCTTCGTTTAGGAAATTTTTTTCTAACTGGTTTATGAAAATCTTAAGCCAATATCATTTTATCTGTATCATTTAATTTTTTATTGGAAATATTATGTCCAATTGTAGGATTTTTTATAAATTTATTTTTATTTGTGTTACAGATAAAACATTTTGATGAAATTCTCCATCTACCATTAACTGTTTTAATTTTAGTTGCATTAATATTTTTTGTTTGAATTTTATATTTAAGACAATATATAGTTTCATTCATTTTTTTATATTTATAATGAAAAATTTTTTAAAAAAATTATTGAAAATAAAAAAATTTATATTTTCTAATATAAATAAGAAATAGAAATGGAAAACTTTAAAGATGCGGTAAATAAAATAAACAATGGATATACATTTATAAAATCTAATGATTTGGAAGAAGGAAAACCATACAAAGTAAATAAGTTCTTAATGATTGATACAATGTTTGGAAAAAGATTATCAGTTGTATTAAACGATGAATATATGTTAAATTTACCAGATAGATATACAATTGAATCTACAGAAAACGTAATAACATGTTATAATACAAGTTCGGAAACAAAATTGAATATTATTTATAATGGTGAAAAATTTTTAAAGAATGGGAAAACAAGAGATGATTTTAATTTTTTTTTTTATTTAGCACAGACATGTGATCTTCCATTAATAATTCTAATTTATAAAATAAAATACAATTAATATAGATAATATTTTTTATAACATATAATGCATACTTTTTTTCAGTCTTGGTGGTACATCTGTATCAACCTCTTCGCAAGTACTTGGAATACTATCCATAGTGCTATAAAATATATTATAACAAATTTAAAAAAAAGAATCATTCATTTTTTTTTTAATTGACATTTACCGTTTTTTACATATTACTACATCATCTAAGAACTGCAAACTGCGTAAATGAGGCCATTCTTTTTTAGTAGCTGCACTGCCAGATGCTGGGATTTTTTTTTCTCGAGTGTACTTTTCTTTTAAATACTTCCAACTTTTTTTTAATGCAGGAATTGAATATTTTCCTATTAAAATAAGTTTATCATAATGATAATTGGTTTTTATAAATTATCTAATGTATAATATCAACTTTTATGTTTACCATTAAAATGTACATATACACTATTCCACAAGTTAGCCTTAACAGCATCAGATCTTTCACCCAGTGATAATTTAAAGTTCCATAGAGATGTACATGGTTCAATGACTTCAATAAGTTTTGACATATCTTGTTTAGCAACAGCATCTTCAGAAATTTTGCAGTTAACATTTGAAGCTGACATATCATTAAAATCACCTAGACATATTGTTTGTATAGTAAATCATAGTTTATACAATTTTACTAGAAACTGTATTATTATTATGTGTAGCAATAAGGTTGGTTCATCATTCTTGGACTTAATCAAGTTATACTTCTTTAATGGTTCTTGAAAATACATAAATATTGTAAATGTTTCTCTTATTTTATATCAATATTATCTCTTTGAAAAGTTAAACAGGTGTATCAGCAACTTTATGATACACATCCCTTGGAAAAATAACTGCACAGAGTAGAAACACTTTACACTTAACTTTTATGCACCTGTACACCACAAAAAAGTGGTCAACCTAGTACATGGGATAAAGTAGAGGTAGGTGAACTTTACTGATCTAAAACTCATACCGTTGCTGACATACCAGTTTAATTTGTGTTGATCATCTTAATTAAATTTAACCAACTAGTTACTAGTATATTAAACATACTTGGTGTAGGTGTATCTTCTGATGAATTATACTGGGCCACTGGGGACTTTCTATTCGAAACTGGTCTTTGCAAGTATACCGTAGACAAGGTCGATCCCCCCTGGGGACTTACACTTTTGTATAATTGTTCCAGCAATGGTTTAATCACTCTTGCCTTTTTCCCTCGGAATACTCGTTTGATATTCTGCACTATTTTCTTTAGGTCGCATCGGCGAAATCTTCTTAACTTATTATCTTTTATAAGTATAAGAGAACTCCCCTCCAATTTTTTTCGGTTGGTACTTTTCTAAACTATTCGATATTGTGCCGGATACCAGTAATGTTTCGTTTTTACTGACGGTAAAGAACTCGAAGTCCATTATAAAAAAAGCGTAACTGTGAGCTAAAATAAAATAATTATTTTTTTTAAATTAATTGGTTCTTAATATTTATTGCTATGTATATGATATAATATGTTTCCTGAGGTTATTCTTCGAAAATCGTTTCGACGATCACACGCCTCCTGATCAATTGTTCCATTAGTAAACCCAACTCTACACACATGGGTCTATTATGATTTGGTCTTACGATAACCGCGAGTACAAAGTCATTAACACGGATCATGACTCGTGCTAAGATATTTGGCCTGAAAGGTATGGTCATGTTATTATTCGCCCTTCTTATATGTTCCAGGAAGCAATGTAATCTGACTACTTCCCCTCGCATTATTGGTTGATTCAATTAATTCGTTTTTTAACTCTCTGAGAAATTCAAATGTTTGTAGTTGCATTCGAACGGTTCGTGCTACAGGTGGTACGTTCTCATCCATTTTTATACTTTAAATTTTTACGTGTGCTTTTATATATTTTTTTTTGTTTTTCTTCTTAATTTCTGAAATAGTTAAAAGTTATTGTTATATCATTTTTATTTAGAATATTATTTACGTATTTATATATATTATTTTTTTTTATGCACGTAATATTATTTTATTTAAATTATAGAATATTATTTTACGTATTATTTCTTTTATGCACGTAATAATGTTTTATTTTATTATTTATTTTCATTTATCTTTATTTATTTAAATTATATTATTATTATTCGTTTTCCTATTGGTATTTCCTGAAACACAACTATTATTATTACATATCTATAATTTACATGATATATTAATTCCATTTATCCTTATTATCTGCTTATTGCTTATTTTATATTTATAACTTAGTATTTATTATTTTTATTAATATGTTACGTATTTATTTTCGTTTTGTATGTTATATTATTTGTTTTGTATAATTTATTTATTATTAATTAAATTTAAAGTAAATAATTCGTTATGACTAGTGACTAGTGACTACTCTTAATACATTTTTATTCTATTTATCTTGGCGACGGTGGTGGAGTAAAGGGTGTCTCTTCATAATTTCGTACGTATTCATTTCTATTGGGTGTCCTATATCTAACTATTCTGACGGGTAATTCCATGACTTCTGTGGTGCTGATATACTTGTATTTTATCATTATATAAATTGCTATTATTAGTATAATAGATATTGATGCTAGTACTATAACAAATTACTGTGTACAAATTATATTTATATTAAACTAAAACATCTTATTATATTCTTATAAAATTAAAACCATCTTACATAATCCAATATATCTCTAGTATCGTGCAAAAATCTCATATAATCTATTAATCGTTTACATGTGGGTGTCACTGGATCTGATGACATAATTAGTGTTAGAATTCGCGTAATTTTCGTTATTTCGAGAGTATTAAATGGTTCTTCCATACAATTATTCGCGGTATTAATATGTCCTATTAAACACCTCGGCGTGTGTTCCGGTCCTAAAGTATTTGTTTCATGGATTTCTTGTTCAATCGCCTTTCCTAGTTCCACAATGAATTTTCTTTGTCTGTTCCTAAAATTAAAATTAATTTTTATCGTATTTATTTTATTTATTATTATTTTTTATTATTTTTTTAAATTGGTTGTATCGTGATTTCATTTATTATTTCTTTCTCCGGTTACAAGAATGAATGTTCTGTTTCTATCCCTAAAATTAATATAATTATTCTAACTTAATATTGCTATATAATTATTATTTTTTATTATTGCTATTTTTTTTTTTTAATGACTTGTGCGTCATTATAATATTTTTTACGTTATTTCTATGTTCAGTAATGACCTTGCGGCCTCGCTGTATAGCTACATTCTCGTTCCCTATAACTGCTGTGACCTCGTACGGTCCTAGCCAGATTGGGTCGAGTTTCGTTCTATGATTATTATCTTTTAATAGTACTAAATCATTAACGTATAGTTCTTGTGGATTTTCATTTTTATCATAACGTTCCTTACTTTTTATTTTATTTTTTTAATTAAATGATCTCTAGCTATCTTATGTGAAATTTGCATATTTTCTTTTTTTTTTTTTTCGAATATATAATCGTCGTAATTGTAACGTGGTTCAGGTTTGGCCTTCGAGTTAATCGGTACCTCCAATGTACATCTATGAACTAATGCGTATGTTTGAAAATTAGTAGAAATATGTATACTGTCGACTTATATACAAAGAATGTAAAGGGTAATAAATGATCCCAATTATTTAAACTCTTATCTACATAATGCCGTAAGTACTTGGCTAAAGTCCTATGAGCGCGTTCTACGGGGTTACCCTGCGGTCTGAATGAACTTGTGTTAACCTTTCCGATTTTTAATATTTTACAAACATTTGCAAACGTTTTCGAGAGGAAATTAGTTCCTTGAACCGTGAGTATTGTTTCTGGTATATCGTGTACACAAACGAAGTGTGTAACAAAAGCTTCCTCAACAGTATTTGCTTTCTGGTCAGGAAGTGGAATTCCTAAAGTGTAACGTGTCAAATCGTCCTCCATCGTTAAAATGTATACATTATTGGACAGTGTAATCGGCAAGGGCCCTACTATATCCATAAATATTTTTTTCAAATGGTTTAGACGAAGTGGATGTAATAGCCATTGATTGTTTTATGTGCCGATTCGATACCTTATTAACCTGACATGACGCACAATTTTTTATATATTTTCTAACGTCTTCTTTGATACCCTCCCATAAGAATTGTTTTTTATTGCACTTAATGGTTTTATTCACACCTAAATGTTCGCCTAGTTTTGAGTCGTGAAATTGTGATAAAATGACTGTTTTTTCTTCTTCACTATATTCTACATTTGCACATGTAATTATTTCTATATCTGTTTTGCAAAATATGTATTGTAACATTGACCTTATTTTTTCCCTTTCTAAATCATGATCGTGATCGCCTATCTTGCCCATGGCTAATTCCTCAGATTGTTTTCCTTACAAAATGATTTTAAATTTATTAGTGATACATGTATGCTTTCGTAAGTGGCCTTCTGTCGGTATTTATTTTTCGTTACTAAGAATATTATAAACCTGTTTTCTTGTTTGAAATAGGGTGTGTCTCTTATTACTTTACTAGTCGGCAATATTGTACCGTTTCCAAATTGTTTTTTTAACTGATAATTCGTTCCTGTTCTAAAATTATATTGCTTGGCAATTTCTGATACTATATTATATTTTTTGGTGAATCTATTAGTGTACCTATAGTTTCTTTTACATTAATATTTGTGATAATTTGTGTTCCTAACTTTTCGATATATTGTTCGTATGATTTGTTTTTTATTTCCTGAATTGAATATATGCATGTGGGAGTATCTACATTTGAATTTAGAACTCCGGGTTTGTGACGTATTAGTAATTGATTTGTGTTAGCGACGAATGAATTAAATGTTATATGATTATTTTCTAAGGTTGAGAATATGTGGAATATTCGTGAGTCGGTTGTTCCGCGATAATCTGGTTTATCGTACGAGTACCGCGCCTCTCGTTCGACACGTTTTCGTTTTCCAAATTATTAACGTTCCTACTCTCATCGTTTCTCTTTTTATAACACGAGTCGATATTATGACCAGTTCGATTACAGTATGAACACGTAACTACCTGTATATTATAATTCGTAGGTGGTTGCGTAAAATTATTCCTATCAGGTGGACGGTTGTTATTGCCGTTGCTCGCATAACTA